TATTTTTATGCTCTATTATGAAAAACAAGCCACGAACAAAAAAAAAAAAACATATTGATAATAATAAAATAACGCGAGAAGTGTGTTGTAGCTTTTTATCCCTTTAGTGTAAGTAAATCTATGTACATGTAGATGTGTATTTAATAAACATACATATTTAAAATATCTCGTGACTATTAGGTTTTTCAAGCAAAGATTTCATTTTGGCTTTTTTTGAATTTTTTTTTTCGTTTCTCATATGAATAAGTATATATGTATGTATGTACGTATGTATGTATTTTGGTAACTCCCATTTTTTTTCTGAGAGCTTTCTTTTATATAAATTTAAATATAAACGTGTGAGTGGCCTCTAGTGCCCCTTTTTTCTTGTTAGTATTATTATTGTTGTTGCTGTTGTTGTTGTTGTTGTTGTTGTTGTTGTTGAGTATTGTGTGTTGCCAAAAAAAAAAGCTGGAAATAGTACAATCAGCACAGAATCTATATGTGGTTTATGTTAATGTATATGTGCATATATATATATATATGTATGAACATGTTTAATATATGTATTGAAGGTCTTTTCACTTAACTTGCAGTTAAATGAAAGATAAAGCATTTTTTAAATAGTTCTTCTCGCTTTTTTTTTTTTTTCTTTCTTTTTGTACAGCATTTATGCGAATGTAATACAGTAGTGCAGTTACTCTCTGCTGTAAATTAACATTTTGGTTTATTTAATTTTGGCCTGCTTGTGTACACATTCATTTATATATACATACTAGTCACAAATGTACGCATGAATGTTTGTGTCTTTGTATGCATTCCGACTGTTTGGTTGGCTGACTGGTTCTTCTCGTGTTTTGTGGATTTTCATTTGCATTTGATTAATGTGCTTTAGTTGCAAGCATTTAAAAGAAAAAAAAAAAACTCTTTTTTTTTTTTTTTCTGGCACAGAACAGAATCAACGCTGCTTACTTACATACACACGTTACGGTATACACATATATATATGTGTGTGTATAAATATATACATATATATATATATTTAAAAAATAGGCATGAGATGGTTAAATAAAGTGAGGCATGTACTTAAAACGAGTGATGTTAAATTTATTATCTTAATTTCTATAGAAAGAAACATCCAATGCTGAGTAATCTTCGTCTTTGCAATGACCATTAATTAAATAATATATTAATCAATTAGTAATATGGAAAAAATCTTGAAACATATACGTTAACTAGGTCCACAAAGCACAAGGGCAATATTCCGATGTTGTATATGTGCAACTCATCTTAGTCTTTTTTATGCAATTCTATCTTCAATGTATTATCTAATTTAACTTCTCATCTAAAACAGTTATATCGATCTTCAAAGAAACAACTCAGATATCCAAGGGGAAAGAAAAATTGTCCGACACTTTCGCACACACAACGTGTTGGTCCTATATATGTAGTGTGCTGCTAAAGATAAAAGGGGTTTGTTCTTCAATTAAAATCTTTCACTATATTTTTTGGTTTTCTCTGTGTTTCCAGTCAATACATTGTCGCGATTTGCTGTTCTTTAACCCCACTCTCCCGTAAACAAAGCTTGACTATCTACAGGCAAGAAAATTTGATCATAGGTGGCTTTAGGGTGCACTGCAAGGACTTTTGTTTTCTTAATAAAAGAACACTTCTTCTCGCGATAGAATAGTGTCAAGTAATAGTAGTTGAGAGCATGGAGGGAGGTTATTTCATTTGTATTACCCGTTGCCTACATCTATATTTGAGAAAGGATAATTTGGATTCGGGTAAACTTGATTGTGTAGTAGATTCGAAGACAAGTGTAACTGCATTTGCGTAAATTAGTACTAAAAGCTGTATATTCTAAATTTAAGCTCTACGGGGGCCAGGGGCTCACTCACTATCTATCTCTATATAGAGGGACTTCTTTTGGAGCGTATCTTGTAATTGTGTTAGCAGATCCCGACTGCTGAGTACAGCTCTTCGGGTAATATCGTGGTGGGTGTAGTTTCGAACCATTTCTAAACCTAAGTATAGGTGATGATAGGCCTCAACGTTACTCAACGTGGCTTATTGGCCATATACTTTAAATCAACCTGGTACTCCAACTCCAGTGGGGCCCCTAGCTTCACGCATAAACCACCCATATGTGCCATGCAGTAATTGAATTATTTCACAATAATTATGGCATGTGACATCGTCTTGTTGAAACCCCATATTTTTCAATTTAGCAAAAAGAAAAACTGAATTAGAGGAGGACGATAACGAGCACCAGTAACAGTAATTGTTTAATCAGCCTCATTTCCGACGAAGTATGAGCAGACTTCCACGCTTTTTGAAAATTTTTTAAAAGTCAATCTAACCTTAAACCCTAAACCCTAATCCAAGATTTCAAATGGACAGATGGACAGACTGGATTAGATCGGTGCAGGGAACGAGTCAGAATCATTCGGTGGGCCTATCTTCGGCTCCATCCTCACAACTTAACATACCCTATACCACAAGTGCTAATTTAAATGTAGAGGCTCTTTAAAAATATTTGCTTATGTCTCTCATTCTAAAATGAAAATATTGATATTGTTTAGTCTTTTTTTTTTCGTTTTTTGTACACACGTGAGCACTTCTTCTTCATTTCTCCGCGTAACAATGTATAATTTAATATTCGTCCAAATTGTTATTGTAATTAAAGAAAAATTAAATCAATTAATGATATAAAAAGCCACAGCAGGGAACTTCATTCTTCCCTTCACAAAAAAGAAAAGGAAGAAAAAAAAAAAAAAGGACAAAAAAAGAATGCTTTTATTAATGTTGTAAAATGACGTTTAACAGGAAAAAAATTGTGTCATGTCATTGTCAGTGTAACATAATAATAATAATGTTATCACAACTATTCACTCTCCCGCAATATAGGACCTATTCAGCGCCGTCTACAGGAAACAGAAATGGTAACAAACCATTAAGTTCTATTAAGTTGACGAAAATCAAGAAAAAAAGAAGAAGGAATTTTTGCTTCTATCCTTCGTCTTGCTTTGTAAACAGCAACAATACGCTACGACAAGACCGCCAGCCAACAATAGGTATGACATCAGCAATGTTAATGGTGCGAATCTAATGACTGGTGTGGTAGCAACAACAGCAGTAACAATAATTTCAAAAAAGAAGATGAAAAAAAAGATAAAATATATATATATATATATATATACATATATAGTATGTATATATAATGTACATGTATAGATTATTACTTAATACGAGTTTGTTAACCTATATGAGATTACACATCGGTACTGCATTGTCAATGCTGAAGGTAAGAAAATGAGATTTCATTAGCATCTGTCAAAGATCAGGTTTGTATAGAATGTCGATGTGTATGTACGCCGATATGAAAATTTAATCGTTTTTCATTTTATTTACAAAGTACTTGACTTTATGTTGCTCTCGTCTGAGCAAAAATCCAACATAGGTAGAAAATGAAAGTATTTCAAGTTAGCTGACGTATTGAATAAATCGTCAATTCTCAGAGGGAAAGTAGAAGCGTTCCCTTTAAGAAATATATTTCGAAAAATTTTTATATCATATTTTTTATGCAGATCATATTAGCACAGATGCATGTATCAGATTATGTAAATTCTTATCCTATTTGGCAAATATTTACGAATCTCATAAAATTTATTTCATTAAGCTACTTAAGGTATGATCAACTTTATAATTTCTCGTTATTTAGGTAGAGTTTTTCCAATCTGTTTAAAAAAGTGGCGCAACTTGTGCAATACATTTCGCAATTTTTTTACGAATATATTTTTTTGTTTTTCTATTCATTTCTCGACTTCTCTTTGCATTTCATCTTATAGGTTGTTATGCATCCTTCATGCTTCACTTAATGTTAATAAAAAGTAAATCAAATCAGTGTCCTTAATCCCTGAATAGATGTCTTGGATGCTTTTTTCTTATTTCTCTTTCTTTACTCTGCTTCTTTTCTGTTGTATTTTTTTCAATTTTCATTTTCCTCTGTCGTCGTAGTCCTTTTCGTTATCGTTGTTATTGTTGTTGTTGTCGTCATTCTAAGTTGAAATTCATTTGGCTTACAGTCTACGTTGTGTCTGTGTTTGTAACATTCACAGCAAATCATGGTATATTGAAGTCTGGAATTCTGTCTCCCATTGCGTCTGTGGCCAACTTTTCTTTTTATTTTTTACATCTACTAGAGTACTAGTATTGCTACTACTACTACTACTACTACTACTACTACTACTACTATTACTACCACTACTACGACAGCTAGTACTACGACTTCTATATAGTACGTACGTTTCTTTGTTTTCTCGAATGCATTCAATTTTAATGTGTTATTGTGTATGGGTTTCATTTTTTCTTTTCTTCTCTCTTTACTGTTCTGCAAATATTACGTGCCATCCCATCCATGCCTGAGCAGTTGGTTAATGTCGTTTGAGAACTTGAAAAATAACATAAAAACTGTAATACACATAAGCAGCAGGAAATATATATATATATATATATGTAATGCGGCTCAAGCTGTAGGAATTTCTTTATGGATTTCCTTTTACAATTCCTTAGCATGCAATGAGATTTATAAGGAATATGATTTCTATCGGGAAGCATTCGTGTTTAAGGGATATGAACAAAACAAAAAAAACCAATATTTAATGAAAATTAAATGAAAGAAAGAAAAAAAAAAAAAAATTAAATAAAACTAATATGAAATGAAAAAAAAGAATTTTTAAAGCGTTTTCGTGAAAATTTATTGAAAAAAAAGATATAAAATCTTTGAAAGTTTATGTTCTGCTATATCGACATTTCATCACGCGTCATCTATTCATAATGATATTCTGTTTTCATTTGCATATAATCTTCAATTGAAAAATTTCATTAATCTCCTAACGAGTTTCTTTCATTCGATAAACGGGGTTTTTTGTTGGGCCGCAAACTTTTTATATAAAAAATTGATAATAATGTCTCGAGACAAACATCTATAACTAATCATTTTTTTCCTCCCTCTGTAGATAACCAGGATACCTTCACACGCGGGAGGAGGCTAAGATCACGAAGAAAAGACAGGTATTTCTAGATTTTACTAATATATGTTTTAGAAAATTTATAAAAGATATTTAATGCGATCGAAAAATTTATCACATTTTCTACAACAAATTTATTCTATGTTAGCATCAATTTTTATTTTTTTTATACCTTATATCACTTACAGTAGAAGACATATTAAATTGCGCAGACGTATGTAACCTTCAAAAGGACTTTAGATAGACTCACCTTTTATTATACCGATCGATTCCGAATTACTTTCTGAATTGATTCAGCTTCATTTTCCCAAACAGTCTTGTCGGCTCGTGTATCTAACTGTGCTCCTAATGCCTGTCCGTATATATTTTGTTCATTCTACTTGTCGTAATTTTCGAGATATTTTGATGAAATGTGGTACACTGACGTGAAGGCTTTGAGCTCTAGAAAGCACGCAGTTGAAAATGGTTCGCATCGGATCCCTTTTCACGTGCTGGTAATGCAATTTACAAAATTTTGAGGGAAAATATCTTTTAATAATAGTACTTGGGCTTTCTAAATTGGTCAAAAAATTATGGATCGCAAAGGGTAATTTTTTGAATCCCTCGCCACACAACTATTCCTTAGGGAGTTTCTAAATCTTGATGCGATGAAAAGACCAAATCTTCAGTACTCCTCGCTGAAAAGTCGTTAATAATAATAATTTGACATAAAAATTAATCTTACCGAATTAGGACCACGTAACTCTAACTTTTGGATCCCAACCCATATAAGGATTGTAATGAAAAACAAGGCTTTATATGCCGAAAAAGTTCAGTTTGTAATATTTTTTAGTTGGTGCACAATTAGTGCTTGGTAAATCAAATATAGGGAGTTTGGACCACGTAGGTCTAGATGGGAGCTCTCATGAATGCAAGCTTTTCCGAAGGCAACCAAGTCCAATTTGTGTTTTGTTATAACAGAAGCAATTGGAAAATAACAAAATCTTTGACAAATCAATTAAATTTTCTAAAATTTAGACCACGTTGTCTTTTGAGTATTCTTCCATGTCAGGGGTTTCACGTCAGTTGCATATTTGCATAAAAATAATAAATAATTTTTTTTGCGTTATGAGGAAAATGATTGAATGAATGTGTAAGGCGAAGTATTGTAGGATATTTAATATTCGTTGTTACCCAATTATAGGATTTTTGCTTGCTATATAAACTATATATTCGTAATAAAATTTTTGAAAGTTCACTCAGAAATGTTATCATTTCTTGCTTACCGGCGGGATCCACTAGAGGGAATTTTCGTTAACTAAGGTGCTTTCTTATAAACAAAACAAACAATATTCGATCGAAGTAGAAAACACACTGACGACCTATCAACGAAGACCTATCCTTAAATAATTCCTATGTTAAAAAAATGCTAAACGATACTGAATCATTGTCCTCTTCGTTCAAAAGCTTCCACAGAATATTAAGCCAATTAATCTAAGATCATACTCTTCATATATGTTGACCAGAAAATGCCAAATTTTAAGCAGAACTTATGTAGTAGATAGAGATTATTTGACCTGACAGGACATTTGTCTTTATGTCCATAGTTCCGTGACGGGGTTAATTTTCATATGTGTTCTAATTAAGCAATGATCGCTCGGCGTTCATTTCAGTGCTTTTGATGATAATCAAGAATTTTGTAAAAAATATTACTGAAACTTTTTAGAACCTACGCGAGCAGAGCCAAAGCCTATAATAACTCTTTAAAAGGCAAAGCTTTCTGTTAATAATTCGATCATTAATTACAATCAGATTTTTGCTGTTGCTTCCTAACTACTTGGCGCTGCATAATTTTCTTCCTCTCTAAAAAAACGATAGATGCAAAATTTGCTTCGTGCAGCAAGCTTACTATTCAACAGCTTAATATTGAGAATTCATGGGATGCACTTATGCTAGATATTTGGAGTTGAAGACTCTAACCGCGTAGACCTGCCAATAAAATAAGTAAGATATTTAAAAACAGTCACAACGACGAAATTTTTTTTGTATATAGTAAATAGAAAAAAATACTTAAACAGGTTGTCGCCTGTCAAATTTTTAGACATTCGGTGAGTTAGCATTCGTTTGATACTCGTAGAAATTAAGCAAAGTTCAGTAAAAAAAAAAGTGAATTTCGCATTATGAACTACACGCACTGTTTGGAAAGAGAAACCAGCAAAAAAAAACCAAAACATCCCAAGGAGAGTTGAAGTATTAAAGAGTAAAATAATTAAAGAGTAGATGGCTAAGGGTAGACATATTCTAATGAACACTGTTCAATGGTCAGCCAAGTGAGAAGGCATGGGCTAATTTTTCCCATTAACATATCCCATGGATTTTAATATTTTGCGCAAAAAATTAGATGGATACCGCTAATCGGTAAAAAATGATTGTTTTCGCCAGTTCTACGAAGCATCCAGAAATCTTTAAAGCGAATTCATGTGAGTTTCCTCGTCTTCATCGTCGCCTTCAGCATTACAAGATGAACAAGCTGCGTTCGCCAGGAAGGAGTGTTTCCGGAAGGAACTGCACCAGACCAATATACATCGGCATAAAAGATGTTCTCGGTTGCACACGGCATGCAAGTAGAAGAGAGGTAGCTACTTTAAACTGTTCGACAAATTTCTTTGAAAGGCATAAAGAATTTAAATACATTTACACCCTATATCGCTTGTGGTACAAGGGTATATGAAGTTTGTGCGAATACATTCAACGCCAAGGAGGACTTTTATTATAACCATAAATTCAGAATTATTGTCCATTTTCCATACTAAACGTTACTTTGAAATTTCGCTATAAGAATAACTATAGGATGATGTAGGAGACTTAATACTGGACAGTGACGCACTGTAGTGCTTTTACTTATTGAATTTGAATACATTTTCGTGAAGCTCGAACTAAAAAGAAAGCTAAAATAGAATTTTGCCCAAACCGTATTTTTGGTCACATTGGTGTTGCAGTAGTTGGTTATATTGAAAATGCATAACAGAAATCCGAAACTTTTTAACGTTTAAACTGAATAAAAGTAAAAGTGCTTTTTTAAACACAGAAACAATTATAAATTAAATTTTTATTACCAATGAAATAAAAAATAGTTTTATGAGTTATTTATTAGGAGATATTGTTTGACTTCCTTCTTCTTTTCCTTTTAGTCCAAGTTTTTTGTAGCACATGCTTGCTGTTTGCTTAAAAGCAAGCATTTATGCTTATCGATACGTAACATAAAGAATTTTAGCAAAAATATTGATATCCGCACTATTCACTAAGTTAACATTACATTAAGAAAATGAAGTTCGTGACTCATTCCTCTGAATTGAATTTGAAAGGATTGTTCTTTTTTTGTTGTATTCTTTCAAGCACAATTGTTTACATTATTGGAAAACGTAAATATGCTTTTCAAGTTTAACTATGAATAGGGCTGAAGCAAATTTATGAGAGTTTTCAATATTAGTTAGGAAGTGAATTTTTCGTTCACTTTAAATTACATTTTGAAAAAGGAAATACGGAGAAGAATATTCCCTGATATGACTTTTTGAATATTGAATTTATTCACGAAAATTTTAAAGGAAATTTACTAAAATCAATAACTTTAAAAAATCTAGTTAAGTCCATTAAGTTGTCTGGAATCAACAAACCTGTGTATGTGTAGCCGTTTACCCTTGTCTTGATTGTTTTTAATTTTACTTTAATTTAATCTAATTTATTTAATTCAATTTCATAAATACATAATTCAGTTACAGCGAAGATTCAACTGAGTTGCGCAATTTATATGTTCGCAAGCAATTCAAGTAAAGGAGGTCTTAAAAGAGCAAACAATCAATGCAAACATACAAAAAAAAATAAACAACGTGTCCATCATTACTCATCAAACTCTGTATTAGGATTCCAAATGATAAAACTGAGGTATTAGTTTAGGTAAAATGTCGGCAATGCACGGGCATTAAGTAGAATAGTCTTAATGGAAGCAACAGAATCTGTTCATTTAGATTGTTACAGAGAACCCTAAGTGTATCAAAAAGCAAGTATTTTAACTTGCATTGCCTAAGTTTAATAAAAATAAAATGCTATGTCGGACGGACAGGATCGCACATAACAAAACCGACGAGAAAATGGCGCCATTAATCAGCGTTACCATGAAAGTAATGCCCAATACTAACCCACCTTTCTCTAGTGACGGCAAGGATATAAGTAGAAACTTATTGTCATAAGGAGATAGAAGGACATAAATTTCTTAGAGCAAAAAGCAAAAACTGCTTCAGCAAATATTCAGGAATTCAGATGGCAACGATACAACGTTGACCACGAAGACATGGTTGAACTGCCGACTTAACAAGCCAAGAACATATTGACGTTATCTGCGCACATTAGCATAAGAGGAGGTTATTAAGATGAAGCATAGACAGAATCAGTCCTAACTGAGTCAATTGTGGGTCACCTGAAGTAACAAAGGTCTCATCAGATTGATAAGAGTTGAAAGGAACCCTGAAGGATCTACTATCCAAACGGAGCACAACCAAGCAGCAAAATATGGGGAGAAACCAAAGCAACAAAATTTCCATAATAATTGTTTGTGGTCAATACTATCAAAGGCCTCGCTTAACTCAGTGCAGAGAACATCCATCTATGCCCCTTTAGAAAAGGCCTCAAATACGTGGGAAGAAGTAGAAGGTTAGTGATGGCCGACCTATCCTTTAAACAAGCGTGCCGGCGTGGAAGGGTAGCGGATTTAACAGTAAAGCTAATCGGGCTCATGGCTCCATCTATCTATCTATTAACTGCAGCTATTCAAAAACATATGATGCCATTAACTTCTAATGACCCATCGAGCTTAGACACCTGAAAAAAAAGTATACAACTTTCCCTTAAATCTGTTGCATTTACAGATATATATATATATATATAACTCAGTATCCATAGGGTTTAGAAAACTTTCTCTTAAATCTATTGCGTTTAGATAAACAACATACGTCACATATATGAGTATATACGTGTGTAAAAGCGTTATGACAAAGAATAACATCATCT